TTGGCCATGGTGCCCAGAATCCTGGCAAACTTGGGTGCATGAGGGTCCAGGTAGATTCGTTGAATGGCAGTTTCCTTCCTGGTCTTTCCGCACCACCAGTTGGCGTAGTTGACAAAGAACAACTGCTCCTGTGTGAAGAACTCCAGCCCAGGAAGATCCTGGTTGGGCTTCTCCGCCGCGCGCTTCTTCCACGCCGCAAATGCTGCCGCTAGACCACCTGCGTCCGCGATGTTTTCGCCCAAGGTCAGTCGGCCGTTGACATGGAGCGGTTTGTCATCAGGGCCTGGTACAGTAAAGTTGGAGTACTGCTCGACGAAACACTCCGCCCGCTTCTTGAAGTTCTCGACCGTCTTTTCCGTCCACCAGTCGGTGAAATTGCCGTTCTGGTCGTAATGGCGACCGGTCGAATCAAATGCATGAGAGAGTTCGTGCCCAGATACGGATCCGAAGGCGCCGTAACTGAGATACTGGGGGACATCGACATCGAAGACGGGAAACTGGTCTAATTAGCACTTGAATGCGCGTCTTGCTCCTTTTACTGAACTGACCTGCATGATTCCTGCTGGGAAAACAATCTCATTGCCGGGAGGATTGTAGTCTGTAAGATTAGTCAAGTGCTAACAAAACACGCAGGGGATTGGAAGTACATACATGCATTCACAGTTGGAACAGTCATATCCCTAAAGACCGTCAACACTTGCAATCAATCCTACGACAAGAAGCAGTCACGAACCATTGATTTCTATCCACGGGCTTGCCCAGAGCCGCCCACTCGCGAGCGAGCTCAGCACGGATGATCGATACGGCATTGCCGAAGTACGTCGAAGAAGTAATGTTGACTGGAGCGTAGTATTTCTTCAGACTCGCGGGGTCCATAATGTTTGGACTCTGTAAACAGCATCTATCAGTATTATACAACTTAATAAAAGTCCTGGAACTTCACATACCTTGTCCGGATATCCAATTTTCTGGACAATGTTGTGGACCTTGGAAATGGCCAGCTCAATCACTTCCTTCTCCATCCACTCGGTAACCTTGAGTTTTTCGATGAACTGGTCCTTGATATCGGAGACAATTTGGTCACCAAATTCTTTCGCCTTGGCAGAGAAGGCTTTCTCGACGAAGAAGCGGCTCAGGATCCAGCCCACTCCAAAGTCGACGTGGTCGACGCACGTTCGCCATCGTTCCGGTTTTGTATCTGGGTCCTAGGTCATGTCAGCATCGGAAGGCTGGAAGGTCACTTCGAGGAAGCGTGGTACCTTGCCCTCCAGCTCGTTTGAAAATCGTTTGAGAGGAGCAACCGCATCGGCCTCGATGAAACTGGCGTACGACTGGACTACCTTCCACATGAAGTATGTGTGCAGAGTCTCTTCTGATGTATCCGCCAGCAGTTTACTAAGTTCCTTCATGTATTGTGGAGCCATGACTATGACTCGCTCCAATTGGTAGTTTGAGGGTACCAGGCTATGGAGGATTTCCGACAGCTTCAGTTGTGGAGTTAGAGCATCAGCATCAGCTAGAGACATGGGGTTGTAGTATTTCTGTCCTGTACGTTAGTAAGTTCGGGTTGTGAAACAGTGCTCCAGCTCACCGTCACGTCGTTGCGGTCTTCAGCAGTTGGCGAGGCTTTCGCAAGCTGCTTCTCGAACTCGACCAGATCATGAGCATCGACTACATCTGTGGAGGCCCCATCTTGGAGTGCCGAGAGAACTTCCGAAGCCACGCCTTCATACTTCTTCACGAGCTGTTCGTCTTCGTACATTTCCTGTGCAGGTAAACCGATGCTCCAGGGAGCCGCGATGGAGACGACCACCGTATCTGGATCTTTGTCGTCGGCACCGGTGTCAGCAGATATCACGGTCGACATTCCAGTCTTGAGCATAAATGCAATGGTGGCAGAGAGGTCGCCAGATGAAAAATGTTTCGCGGTGTCGTTGAGTATCTCGATCAATGGCGCAACCCCGACTTTCGCGATTGTGTCCTCATCCAAACAAGCATCATAGGCCGCTTTGAGCTTGTCGAAATTCTCCTTGTCCACCGAGCCTGTGGTACTGTCGAGTGTGGCAGGGGAGAAGTAAGAATGCTGGAGCAAATATAAGCACAGGAACCAAGATCGTTGATGGGGTGCCAGGGACTCACCGCCGACAAGCCCGGATACGGAGCTTCGAGGATATGGCGGAGTAGCATCTGAGAATTCTCGCTCATGATGGTGCCGGTAAAAGCATCGCCTTGGTCGGGCCGTAGATCGTGACGCTCCCTCCAACCTCCGCAAACCAGCTCCTCGAAGTCGGTGCATGGATCAAGGGTTTGGTAGTCGGGCGACAAGTTGTAAAGCAGCTCCGAGGAGGCATGAACACACGCAGGCGTGAGACAGATGTCAGCCCCCTTATGTTCGGGTTCTTTGCTGTTTGCTTCGGGGTTGTCAGCAACCAAACGGAGCCGTGAACCAGTTTCACACAGCAAGACTCACTATTGAGGGAGAAAGGCAAAACATCGGGCCCGTCATTCTTCACAACGAAGCCGGCATAACAGAGCCATGTGACGAAGAGGACCATGAAGGCGGCGAAGGCACGCCAATGAAACGCTTCCCGGAGGCGGCGACCGCACGAAGCGCAGTAGGATGCAGGAGTCGGCGCCCTGCTTTCCTCATCTTGTACTAGAGGGGCCTTTTCGCTGATGCACTCATGGCCACTCGACAGTGATTGACGATCCATCATGGCAGGAACGGCGTCGTGCACAGGATGAATGGCATGAAGGGAGTAAAGATGGTGAGATGGGGTCGAGTTAAAGGGAACATGTTTGGCTGCGGAGATTTGGTGGTGGCGCGGTGGTTGCCGTCCTACGCATGGGTGGAAGTGAGTTGGTGCCACTTGGGGGGGGGGAACAGGGGAACTGTGACTCCTGGAGCGCCCGTTAGGCGTTCCTGGAAGAGAGGAAGAGCCTTACTGGTGCCTGAGTGGGTGTTGTCACCAGCTTTGGGTTGTAGCTTCAAGCTTCCCCGCACTGACACTAGAGCTGCGAGCTGTGAGCTGAGGGCGTTGTGACTTCCTAGGATGCCAATGCCCACACAAAACTGGCTAGGCAACTAGAGCTAGTGTACTATTCAGGCACCTAGGTAGGCAGCAGGCTCTGGCGATCCTCAAGAAGCGAGTTGGCGGAGGCCACCATACTCAATGACCAGGTAGGCTGCCAGCTTCTACCATCAGTTCTTTTACTACCTATGTCCTGTATGTACTGGTATATCCACCTCCCAGTCCTCGCACTGCCCAAAAATTCCTTTCCTGTCTATATCTCCGACTAGGTACGGCATGTGGGATAATACACAGATGTCAAGCCTCAAAGGGGAGAGTCCATGCCAATTGAAAAGGTACTGGCGCAAAAGAACCCTGAAACAAGAGGGCTGAAAAGTCCCCCCACCGTGATGAGCGGCGGGACAAGTTATTGATGTCTCGGAGGATTTTTGAGGATGGAGAGTCGGGTTGGGGGTTGTGATGTCCGACTCACGCATTGAGGTCGCTCCGTATGTAGTGTTCCTTTAGGACACTACGTGATGAATATACTTAACAAGTGAATGAGGAAATAAAGGAGGAGGAAGGTCGCTCAAAGTATCGAAACGCATATCTTGGTGCCGGCCGTAGCGATACCTCTCAAAGTCATACCACGGCGATGGAATTTTGAATGAGAAAGAAGGAGAGCTCGCATGCAGTCTCACAATGTGGGTGGTGAAGTGTTAAGTACCAGTACCGAGTACGTAGCGTGTGACCCAGAAGTCGCTGGGGAAACTTAGACGAGCCCCTCCACCTATCGATGGTCCAATTGACAATATCAAAGGTGATATGTGTGTATGAGTACATGGCAATGCCACCGAGACAGACTACATCCTCCCTGCCCAAGAACTGGCCCAAAGACATTCTCTATCTCGACAAACTCCATATTCCGCCTCCATTATCACCAGAACTACTCCTCTCATCAACAATCAGAGCCACCTTCAGACCCTCCGATTCACTCCCCGTGATTCCCGCTTCAGCACCCACGTCGCCATCTCCGCTGGTCCAAATAAAGTCCATCGCCGACCCCTCCCACCCAGCGTACCGACAGCACGGGTTGTTTGCGGCGCGCGCCCTGGCCCCGTCGTCATTCGTGATCCTCTACCTCGGCACGCTGCACACGTCGTCGTCAGAGTCAGCTTCGACATCGGACTACGACCTCAGCCTCGACCGCGAGCTGGACCTCGCCATCGACGCCGCGCAGTGCGGCAACGAGGCGCGCTTCATCAACGACTACCGCGGCATCCGACCCGAGGGCCCCAACGCCGAGTTCCGCGACTGTTGGGTCGAGATGCTTCCACCGACGTCCCGCGGCGGCGAGGCGAGATGGGAGAGGCGGATCGGCGTGTTCGTGCTGAGTGCCGGCAAAGTCAACCGGAAGGACGGCGGGAAGCAGAGGGCGAGGGGGATCGCAAAGGGCGAGGAGATCGTGGTTAGCTATGGCAAGGGATTCTGGAGGGCGAGGCAGCAGGAAGAGGAACTGGGTCACTGACAAGGGGACTCGAAGGGGCTGGTGGATGATGCCAACGAGAATGGCTGGGGCTTTTGCTCGAAAGCGACAACGATGAGCTTGTTTCCTATTGACTGACAACCCTCGACGAGTCGTGGTCGTGACTCGGCACGGGAAAGAAAGGAAGCTCTCATCTACATCCTTCACTCGTGGCGCTCGACCATCTACAAACTTCCACAAACACCTACTCGTCAAGCTCTAAGCTAACGTTCTCCGGCAAACCAATTATGGCTGCGAGAGTCCCGGCACCTTTGTGTCCGTCGATCAATATCTGGGCGGGCCTGATCAATCCCTATCCAACAGCCTATATGTACTAGGTACGTCTCGCATTTTTCACGCCCAGCTAATCCATCAACACCATCTTCGAGGCATCAAGGTCGCCCTACCCTATAACATCCCACACACCACACAAATACTTTTTCTTCGACAGTGCTCTGACCAGACTATTGGAATTCCTTCCGTCTCCTCACTCTCACCTTGGCGCTCATCGGCGGGACGTGGTTCGGTCCCGCCCAGTAACATTCAGGTCTAATTCCCTTCCCATTCCAGTTCCCACCAAGGCCCCCTTCCATGACCATCTGGATCTCGTACCGCGAGAGCAGATACGCGAGCAACAGCTTCAGTTCCTGCGCGGCAAAGAATCTTCCAGGACAAGCGTGCCGACCGTGTCCGAACCCAAGGTATGAGGGAGAGGTGGCGATGAAGGAGAGGTGGGCTTTGTCCAGGTACTCCTTCTCCCGATCTGCTCTATCTCTATCACCATCCCCGAGTCCACTGGAGATTCTGTCTCTCAATTCGACGAACCGGAAAGCCTTGTATTTGTCGGCTTCCTCATAAAGGGTCTCGTCATTATGGCACCCCCAACTGTGCGTGGCGACCATACATCCTTCGGGTACATGTATCCCATCGGGCGTCGTGATGCCCCCCGGAGCAACGACCTTTTGGTTCACTCCCACACCTATGATACTCGCGCGTCGTGAAGTTTCTCGAAGAGCAGAGTCGAGGTAGTGCATTTTGGCGATAGCCGTGCGCGACCACATCCTCGAAGCCGGTCCCGATCCGGCATCTGGCTCCATGTTGTCCAAGGCCTCCTGCCGCAGCGTTTCCAGGACACGCTCGTTGCGCGGTGCGGCAAGGATATCCAGCAAGGCATTGGTGCCGATGAAACTGGTCGTGTGGACGGACGCGAAGTTCACGTGCAAAAGGCGCGCACAGATGATCTGCGGGTCTGCCTCGTCCGGCGACAGATACGATTTGGTGAGCGATCGGGTCAACAGCCATTGGAGAAAGTCGTTCTTTGCTGTGTCGCCCGGCCGCTCCGTCTCGCTGTCCTTGTGTTCTGCCTCGGAGTCGCTGGTGGTCTCGTCCTGGAGGCCCTGACGCCGGAGAATCTCGGGCGTGAGGATTTCAGTATATGCGCGGGTATGCTTGCGATTAGAGCATGTCACTATCCGAGAGACAAGAGGTCGGAGTATGCCAGGGAAGAGTCGCAGTATGGTTGCAGAAAAGGCAATATCTTCTGCAAAACCGATTGCATTCTTGAGGTATTCCTCGTCACGACCTGAAGGCCATGCTTGATTAGCATTTTGGACAGTGAACACTACCGATGTAAATTGTCTTCTTAAGAGGACGGCGATGCTCTCTCGAGGACGATGTATGCTCTTCTGTGTCAGGCGACCTGGTGCCTGTGGATCATTCTACGCACCGTCCACTTTGACCCGCCTCTTTGCCAGAAGGAAGGGAATCTACTCACATAGTGGAAGCCCGACAAAGACTCTATTGGAAATTCGGGCAATGATCTTGGTGAGACTGTCGAAGAGCACCACGGTCTTCCACCCGTCGGCGTCAGAGTAGTATTCAAAGTCGGAATCAGCTTCGCTGCCCCAGATTTGATCTACTGCTGCGGCTAGTTCGTCGCACACTTCGGGCGTGACATTGAAGACCTGCCTAGTCAACTCGGACTTGATGACGTCTAGCAAGGGGCATGAAGCGTCAGCGAGGTTCAAAGAGAGTGCAACTGGGGAAAGAAAATGCCAAGTTTCAGGTCCAAGGACCGAAGACGCCAGAGTAAGGAGAAGGGGAAACAGACCGAAGTGAACAGTTGGATCCATAATCTCGGGCTTGGGGAAAGTATATCGGGTCTGTAGGATATGCTTGTGGGCGCCATTGACACTGAGGACGTTGTCAGGCTGGGCGATCAGCCAGGATGTGTTGGACGGCGGGAGCAGAACGACCTCGCCATCGAGAGTGGCGAGGATGCACGGCTTGTTGTGGCGAGCATACTGTGTTGGAGAGTGAGGTCAGATGAAGATGGACAAACAGTGCGCCATACGCATAGTCACAAGAGGATATCAATGGCAACGAATGACATAGGCCATTGCTTCTCTCCTCCCTTCTCTGATGTCGTACCTGTTCCAAGATAACCGAGGCCAATGGCTGAGAGAAAGAATGGAATAAAGAAGCTGCGAGGTTGATGGGACAAAGACAGCAGCACCTATAAGCCCCCCTCTGACCCAACATTTAGAAACCTACCTGATCATATGCCCTCCTCAAGGCCTCTTCGTAATTGATGGAGCACCACAGCCTCGTCCTCAGATCGCGCAGGACCCATGCTCTATCGTTGCGCGCAACCCACGGCAGATCCGGCAGTGTCGGGCTGCTCTTCCGGCGCCAGTGCAGCAGTAGAAAGGCGAGCAGCAGGCACACTGGGAAGACGATGTTCAGGGTATTTGTAGTGAGGGAGACGGAGAGGATGTCAGTTGGAGACCTGGAGGCGTCGAAAGCCATGGCGGGCCACCCTAAAGCGTGGGTTCAGGACTGTTCCTGGTCTGTGCAATTTGGCTTTGTCCAAGAGCGCCGGCCCACCCCTCTCTACCTCCCTCCCTCTCTTGTTTCCCTCGGCCAGCTTGTCTTTTAAGGCAGGAACAGGACAGGTAGGATTTGACGGTCCGGCGGGAACAAAGTCAAGGGTCCTGAAGCAGAGTGCTGTCGTGTCAGAGGTGTTATTGGAGGTAGGGTTGGGGTGGTAGAAGAGCGAAACACATAGGAGAGAGAAGGATCAGAAATAAGTTTACGTGGCAGGAGAGGACTGACTGAGCAGGTCGCTAGATGCCCGGAGCAGTAAAGAGGCTGAGAGGGTGCTGTAGAGTTTTTGGTATGTGGTTTGCTGTAGGTACAGGTCGACAGGGTACTCGGTACAGGAGGGAGTGAAAGAGTTGTAAGTACCGAGTACCTACGCAGTCCCTGTTGTCTTTCACCTTCTCTTCACACCTCCCCTTCTCGACTCTTCTCCTTCCCACGTGCCCACCAGTCAATGTAACAAGTCTCACTCTCTCAAATCATTATCCACCATCCACAATCATCTCCTCGGCCTCCCGCCCAATGAGAAATTGCCACACTCCGGACACATCAACAAGTGGTCTTATCATGCCTACTCACTGTTGGCGGTCGGTGGCCTCACGGTCTGGGTCTAATGCCGTTTAATGCTTGAGATGCTTGTGACTTGTCGTTGCTAACGCAGTCTCAGGAAGTTAGAGCGTTTCTGCGCTTGCACCCCCTCGAGCCGCGACGTCATTATCATGCAGACGTCCTCGGTAGAAGTCCTTCAAGCAAAGGCGACATATCCCGCGGGATACGAGCCGCCTCCTTCCACCTACGAGTACATCTGCACCAGCTACCTATATCATGGACGATCACAGCCAGACTGAGGCATTTTCCAATCTCACGGAGAGGGTGAACTCGACCCCTCCAGGTGAATCTGACTCTGCTGTGCCGCCTCGTTCCATACGTCCCAGCACCGGGGCTGGAGCACATAGTCCCACCACAGGAAATGCGACATCAGAGTCTGAAACAAAATCCAGTCCAACATTCGCCGATCCTCGCGCAAGCTTCGACTCAGCTGCATGACATACCATTCCTGGTGAACCGTCCCATGCGCTGCCATGGCGCCCATTGTCAGACACCAGACTGTGAGCTCGCGCTCCATCTGTTCTTCCAGAGTCTCGCCTGTAAAGAATAATTCCAGGGCTTTGCGCAAGTCGTATGCAAGCTGCAACTTGATGCTCACGGATTCCCCAAGCGGGAAAAGGACTAGGTCGCTGTAGATCAGTGCAGCAAGTCGTACCATATTGTAGAGAGAGTCCTCATGTGAGGGCACCAGATCCAGCGGTGGATCGAGCGAGCATAGCTGGTGCTGCACGGCATTCCTGACTGTACATATATCTCTGATTATAGGTGCCGCGGGAGCCTTCCGGTGATACAGATCGACGCCCAGCGTCACTCGACATGCTAACATTAGAGCTCGTGAAAGCCCGGGATTTTGCACGCAAGAGAAGCCTCGACCCATCACCAGAGAGAGTTGGAATGCACGGGGATCGAGCACAAGGTCCTTGAATGCTTCGCAGGCGTAGCGCAGCTTGTTGGGCCACGGCCAGAGAGGGCGGACGCCGAGTCGAGTCGAGACGAACGTGTCCGCGCTAGAGACAAAGGGGTCAGTAAGACCAGTTCAAAGAATGTTGGGTCAGGAGGATGAGAGTAGAACCCACAGGCTGAATACATGGCAGTGATCCGGCAGAGGGGATCCATCTATACCACCCAGAGGTTCGAGAGTGCGGTAAAACCGCCGGATCTGCTGGATTCTGCCGGGCGTCAATTCCATGTTGCTGAAAAGGTGTAGATTCTGCGCTTTGGCCATAGGGGATACGGGATATCTGGACGGCTCCTCCTCGTGAGTTCCAGCAGGCCACGTCACCAAAAGCAGCGCCAGAATTATACTCTTCCAGGGCGGCATCGGGTTCTTCTGGACGATATCTGCGACGGCTTCGAGAGTCTTCCGCTCATGGTACGATACTGCTCGTGCTACCAGTGACCGAGACTGGTGATTCGCCGGAAGCAGTCGTAATCTGTGACCTCCTGCGTTGACAATCTGTGCGTGGAGAATAAAAGGAATTTCCTGTGCGTCCCTCCGTCTCACGACTTCATATCGTTCGGTGGTGATCGGATCCTGGTTCAGCACTGCAGGCCAGACGAAGCGGTAGGCTTGGAATACCGAGCGACAATCAGCAATGCCGAAGAAGCCAGAAATTTCCGACACTCAACTGACCACCATCAGGGGATCAGGGACATCGCAACTTCACAAAGAACAAAACGGACGAGGGTTGCAGAGATCGCGACTCACAATGTTCCAGGATATCGTAGATGAAAGGAGGCAGCCCGCTAACCGGGCCCGTGTCAAACGGGTCATAGTTAGCCTGGCCCAGTGAGGTTGTGGAGGTAAAGCTCTTGGGTACCAGCGACAACCCGTGCACGATCTGCGGACGTTCTGGAGTTTTGGGTCGTACCGCCAGCTTCTGTCTGATAACTGGAAGTGTCGAATCGTCACTATCCTGTTGAACATCGTCATCAACCGAACGACGGCTGAGTCTCTTTGGCGGGCGACGGCTCGAGCTGACAGCTTCGTCTTCGGCCTGCGGAATGGGTCGCTTGAGTCTGGAGTTCCGCGCTGCATGAGCTCGACGATCTGCATCTTGGAGTTCTTTCTCCCTCTGCGAGCGGGGTGTGGAAGACAGAGACTGATTCAGGAACAGAAACTCTCGCCGCGGGTCGGAAGCCATGTAGGTAGATGTTGTGCTAAAATTCCATCATGACGGGAAACATGATTGATATCGTCCGAGAGATAGGCCATTCGCCCAGGAAGGAAAGGCAGAAATGACAATCTGGGGATCGCATGACCCTAACTCTAAGCGACAAGGGCCATGTCGAAAGTGGAATTCGCAGAATCCCACAGGTAAACTGGATGAGGAGAGCCAAAAGTTGGCGACGACCAAAGCGAGGTGCTGCCGGAAGCCGGGACAGACGCTGAGAATAGTCTGTATGGTAGGCTTTGATAATCAAGATGGCCGGGGCTTGAATTCCTATTTCTTGCCCTCCTACTCGGTATTGCCAGGACCCTCCCGTGGTGACACCCGTAGTCGGACCGTGGTAAGGAATGAGTCAGCGACGGGCTTCCTCCATGGCTCCAACAACGACGGCGACCGTCATGTTGTTTTGGTGGTGTAACTTCGCATCACGATTGACCTCTATCTCACCGCCCGTCGATTCGGCAGTCGTGAGACCTCCGAGTGAAAACTTCGTATGCTGTCTCATCAAGTATCATTCTGCAGCAGCGAACCAATCGAGGGACGCATGTCAGACCGTGGGGCCGAGGCTGGTCGAGCTGCGATAGGGCAGGAGTTGGTGGTGCATGTGGAGTGTATAGACAGCCCAGTATGCGAAGAGAAACGTAAGCATCCCGCTCGCTTCGCCTACACCCATCTTCCTTTCAAGCTTGGCAGCTGTTCTTGGTGAATCCTCAAGAAGATGACTAGGCTGCTGCAAGCGTGGGAAAATGTTGACGAGGGAAAAAGGACAGCACTGTGTGGCTGGGATCCAGATCCCCCAAAATACTTGAAATAGCAAAGGCTCCGCTGCTTTCTCGAGGTTGACAGACAGCTGTTAAGTAAGGCATCCTGAACCCCTGCCATGCGAAAGGAGGCAAACGAGCTTCGGGAGGTACATCTCGTGCCCCCCGTCGAAATTCTCTTATGCCAGTCCCACGGGCGCCAATTCCAAGCTTGTCGAATGCTCAGCATCATGATACACCGTCCACCCCAGCAAGCGTCGTGTGTCGATGACACTTACTCCCGTGCATACCTGCTCTGGCGGTGGCGGTGGCGGTGGGTGATTCGGAGGAAATCAGATGCAGGCTTGGTCATATCTCAGATACACCTAATCAACGACGCATTGGCCATTTACTCTTCAATCATGCGAGGACTCTGGTAAGGCCGACTCCTTGGCATCCTCTGCATGTGAAACCTTGCGTGGGAGAATGAACATACCCGAAACTGCGTTCCCTGCAATCGCAATGTTTTCTCAGCTGGCCTCGACCCCAGGTTGGTGCCTCAGGAATTCGAGGCCATCTCGGGGGGCCTGTAATGTGTCTCGACAATGACGCTCACGAAGTCTCTGACTGAGGCCGGCGATGCGTTATGCTGTTTCCGCGCGATCTCCGCCGACTTGCGGTTGGACATGCTTGACAACGAAGTGCATGGCGCGATTCGTGCTGGACCCGAATATGGTGGTTCATTTGTCTTGCAGACGACCTTCAATATCTCCCTGGTTGTGCATTACTTGTCACAACCCCTGTCAAAGATGAATCAACTCAGCCATCTCACTAGCGCCTCCATCAGAAGTCTTCTGTCCACAGGCTTGGCGATATAATCATTCATGCCTGCTGCGAGGTATGCTTCTTCATCTCCCTTCAACGCATTCGCAGTCATGGCGACGATGGGAACCACGTGACCGGCTTCTCGAATTCTCCTTGTGGCGGTCACGCCATCCATCACCGGCATAGAGATGTCCATCAGGATCAGGCTGTAGGCTAGAGGCTTTTGGGTCATCAGCTTGACGCCCTCCGCACCATCGGAGGCCACATCCACCTTCTCGAGGCCAAAGCTTCGCAAAAGACGAACCATGATTGTTTGGTTTATGCCGTTGTCTTCGACGAGAAGAATGTGTTTGGTTTGCGCCAACTTCTTGAGATCCACTTCCAGCGTGCCCTTCGGAAGTGGTTTAGCTGGTGAGACTTCTAATTTGTTGACTCTGGAAGTGAAATAGAAGATGCTTCCCTGGTGCTCTGGATTCCGCATGTAACCTACCACCCCACCCATGAGTTCAGCCAAACTCTTGCAAATGGAAAGGCCGAGTCCAGTGCCCTTGTACCTTTTGGTCGAAGAGGTGTCTAGCTGGGT